GGAATGGGGAGTTCTTGTTTAATGGGTACAGAGGTCCAGTGTGAGATAATGAAAAAGTTCTAGACATAAGATAGTAGTGTTGATTGTACAACAGTGTGAATGCACTTAATACCAATAAAGTAGTCACTTAAAAATGGCTAAAATGAGGGCGCCTGGGTGTCTCAGTGGGTTAAGCCTCTGCCTTCAGCTCAGGTCATGATCTCAGGGTCATGGAATCGAGCCCCACATCGGGTTCTCTGTTCAGTGGGGAGCTTCCCCCATCTCTCTGCCTGCCTGTCTGCCTACTGGTGATCTCTCTCTGTCAAATAAATAAATAAAATCTTTTAAAAAAAATCTTTAAAAAATGGCTAAAATAGTAAATTTTTTGGTTTTGTATTTTACCATTAAAAAGGCAAAACTATAAAACTCGTAGAATATAACATAGCAGAAAATCTAAGTGATGTAGGTTTGCATGATCTTTTATTTTTATTTTTTATTAGAATTTTTTATTTATTTAATTCCAGTATAATTAATGTACAGTGTTATGCTAGTTTCAGGTGTACACTATAATGATTCAACAATTCTGTACATTACTCACTGCTCATCACATTAAATGTACTCTTTAATTTTAATCCCCATCACCTATTTCCCCCACTCTTCCAACCACTTCCCCTCTGGTAACCATCAGTTTGTTCTTTATAGTTAGAAGACTGTTTTTTTGTTTGTCTCTTTTTCCTTCATTTGTTTTGTTATTTAAATTCTGCATATGAGTTAATCATCAGTGACCTTTTAGATATAATGCTAAATCATGATTCATGAAAATAAAAATTGGTACATTGGACTTTATTAAAACGTGAGCCTTCTTTTCTGTGAAAGACACTCATTGGAAAATGAAACAACAAGCTACAGACGTATAAACATGTTTCTGATAAATGACTGATATCCAAAGTATACAAGAACCGTTAAAATTCAACAATGAGAAAACAAAGAGACTGATTAAGAAATTAACAAAAGATATGAACATACATTTCCCACCAAATAAGATATACTGATGGCTAATAAGATGGATACGAAAAGATGCTCAGCATCATGTATCAGTAGGGAATTGCAAGTTAAAACAATGAGATACTGTTGCACACCTATTAGAATGGCCAAAATCCAGAACACTGACAATATCAAATGCTGGTGAGGATATGTAGTTAGTAGCAGGACTCCTCATTCATTGCTGGTGAGAATGAAAAATGGGATAGTCACTTTGAGGAACAGTTTATCAGTTTTTTTCAAAGGTACGTATTCTTAGCATATGATCTGGTAATTGTGTTCCTTGGTATTTGCCCAAGGGAGTCGAAAACATGTCCACACAAAAACCTACACACAAATATTTATAGCATCTTTATTCATAATTGCCAAATCTTGGATGCAACCAAGATGTCCTTAAATGGGTGAATGGATAAACTGTGCTACATCTATACAACAGAATATTATTAAGTGGTCTCAAGAAGTGGGCTGTTGAGCCTTGAAAAGACATGGAGGAATCTTAAAAGTGTATTACTTAGTAAAAGAAGATGATCTGAAAAAGCTGTGTGATAACTGTATGAGTTTCTAGAAAGGCAGAACTGTGGAGAAAGTAGAAAGTATTAAGGAGAAAGTAGAAAGATTAGTGGTTGGTTGCCAGGGACATGAGGGGAATAGATGTAGCACAAGGGATTTTTAGGGCAAGGAAACTGTTGTGTACGACGCTGTTAGGATGGGCACATGTTATATAGATTTGTCAAAACCCTAGAATATACAACCCTAGAACCACAAAGTAGACTGTGGGCTTTGCTTGACAATGATATGCCAGTGATGGCTCATCAATCATAATAAATGTCCCATGTATAACAAATGTACAAATGGTGAGTGAGGTTCATAGGGGAAAGGGAATCTGTGAGAACTTTCTGTACTTTCCACTCAAATTTGCTGTGAACCTAACACTGATGTAAAAAGTTAATTTTAAAAAACATAGAATATACAACACAAAGAATGAAACCTAACAAACTGTAGACTTTCATAATAATAAATAATTATAATAATATGTATTTATTGGTTCATCAGGGGATGCAGCTGAACCACACTAGTGCAAGATGTTAATGATAGGAGAAACTTTTTGTGAGCAAGAGGGTTAATGAGAACTCTGTACTTTTTGTTGTATTTTTCTGTAAACTGAAAACTGCTTTGTATTCTCTCTGGTATACCACATATACTAAAATTAGAATGAAAACTGCTTTAAAAATTAATGTTGATGGGGCGCCTGGGTGGCTCAGTGGGTTAAGCCGCTGCCTTCGGCTCAGGTCATGATCTCAGGGTCCTGGGATCGAGTCCCACATTGGGCTCTCTGCTCAGCAGGGAGCCTACTTCCCTCTCTCTCTCTCTGCCTGCCTCTCCATCTACTTGTGATCTCTCTCTGTCAAATAAATAAATAAAAATCTTAAAAAAATTAATGTTGATTAATTAAAAATATAAATAAATGTTTTCAGTCAAAACAAAAGAAACAGACACTTTTTTGAAGACAAAAAATAAATGTGCCCATGCAGATAGCTGCTAAGTGCTGGAATGTAGTTCTTACCTGTGTCTACTGGATTCCAAAGACTTCTTTTTCCTGTGATATCCCTTGGATTCAACTTCAGTTGGAGTTAATCTTTTTTTTAGAATTTAATTAGCCAATGTATAGTACATCATTATGGAGTTAATCTGATAGTGAAGGCTAATAAAGATTAATGTCTTTGAAACAGTCATTGTAGGTATAAGAGCAGCAAGCATGAGTGAAGGTATAGTTTATTTCAGTCTTCTTTCTAGACCCTTCTCCCTTGCTTACCTCAACTCTCTAGGCTAGAAGTGAATCTAGAAATGATTTCCCAAGTCTCTTGCTGGTAGCAGGGTCCATGTGTCACAGTTCTGGCCAGGACAACATAGGCACACCTGGGGAAGTTTCAAGCAAAGCTTTTGCTTTTCTGATCCAGACATTAAGCCTTCTTCTGTTCCTTTCTTTTCCTTCCTAAAGTACACACTGAGATCCAGAGGTGCAGCAGCTGTCTTGGGACCATGAGGTGGGAAGCTTAAGGAAGCTATATACTAAGCATAGCTGACTGGAAATGTGTGAGGAGCCTGCTGGTATCATTCAGGGTTGGATATTTAGTCCATAGGTTTCTTTAAAGCCACCATTGTAGGATTTGTTATTTACAGAGAACACGATCCTAATTGATACACATATACAAAGAGTAAATTTTTTTATATGAGAAATAAATTAAGCATACAAACATTAGTTTCTCATGAGAATTTTAGGATGACTTTGGTAACACAGAATTAGATATCTTAAAGATGTTAACTGATTATTTGAGTGTGTATAATAGATGGTTAGCCATAGATTGTCTTTGTACCACTTAAAACGTGGTCATATCATCAGAGGTAGTGAATGTAGATTCTGGGACCATGAACCCTGCCTCATGGGCTTTTTTGAAGGTGTATATGAGGGATATGAGTCAGGGTAGGATCTGGGGAAATGCCTTATGTGTCTGGAAATGCCTCTTCTTTCTGCTAGGGCTATAAATTTCCTAGGTACTGCTCTTACTCTCCTTTGCTGGACTTTGCATTTCAGATAGCATTCTTCTTGGCTTTGTCCAAGGTGGCTTATGGCCTGTGAGGTTCTGCAGCAATGTGTGAAGTTTTTTACAAGGTGGCCTTGGTTAGGACTTAATAAACCTTAGATAATAATAAACCATTATCATATATAATTATAGAATATATATTATATTATTAATAATTATATAATTACATAATTATTAAGTATTAATGCTATATATAATTCTATATATAATATATAACCATTATTATATATTATTTATAATAAACCATTATGGAGATGTGAAATTGGAAAATTTTGAAAATCCTTTTATAGATTGATAGAGATTAACTTGCTATTTACGTTTTCTGTAAGCGCTGCCTAGAAATGTATGTGTATGTAAGTTAAAGGAACTGGCTAAATATAAGATACTTGTTAATTTACTGTTCTCACAAGTTTTCGTATCATCTCAATTATTTTATTATAGAAATGGTTTGTAATTTCTCAAATAGTAAACAAAGTTTGTTTCCTTGCTACATCAGTTCTTCTGTAATATATGACAATTGTTTATTCTCTTCTAAATTATCTATTCATTTTTCTCCTTAAAAAAACATAATTTGCTGTTAGTGTCTTAGTTGGTAGGATTAGGAGAAGAGCCCTAGTTTGAAAAATACTTGAGTTTATATGGCCCCAACTCAATTAAATGGATTTAGTGTCCAATCTGGTTATTTGCAATTAATACTCCAATAAAGCACAAAATCTTTTTTTTTTTTAAGATTTTTATTTATTTATTTGACAGAGATCACAAGTAGGCAGAGAGACAGGCAGAGAGAGAGGAAGGGAAGCAGACTCCCTGCTGAGCAGAGAGCCCGACGCGGGACTCGATCCCAGGACCCTGAGATCATGACGTGAGCCGAAGGCAGCGGCTTAACCCACTGAGCCACCCAGGCGCCCCAGGCACAAAATCTTTTAAAATCTATTAGAGAAGTCCAAGTTTTGTGACTTTTGATATATCCAGTATGAATTAATTTCAATAAAAACATTTTGATCCATTTTGTGTACCTGGTGTTAGGCATTATGTAAGTTATTTTTTATTTTTATCTCTTGCTATTAATGTGTTTAATATTAAGTAGTGAAATAACATTTGGGCATTCGGTCTAGAGGAAAAGGGCGGGTTACAGGTTATAATTTATCAAATACAAATTTTAAAGATGGACTTATCCTTTCTCACTAGTGCAAAGCAAAATGTTTTACTAAGCTATCAAATTTTTTGAGTTATTGTGTGTAGTCACAATGATAAAGACTGTCACTTTAACATTAAAAATGGAATAGCAATTATACCATTATTAAGGCAAAACTATTTTTTGGAATAAAAAGTATTATTAGCAGAAACTATAATAAGGTGAGGAATATTTTGTTACACACCAAATGAAAAGCCCAAACATTAAGTGATGATTTCTCATATTTTAATAATCAGTGGGATGACAGAGGAATCACTGAATGTGTCATCAAGAATCATGTAAATGCTAAATGAAATACACAATACTTTCATCTCAGCATAGTGCAGCAAGCTCTTTTCTGGTACAACCTACATTACAACACTTATCACTTAAGTGTACATAGGGCTGTCTCTTTTTTCGGGAATGTTTATCTAAGCCTGAGTTTTCTAATTCTGAAATACGTTTGTCTTCAGCTTCATTTTGTCCACTAAGAACAGCTTTCTTCAATTCTTCCAAATTAAGATTTGAACTTTCCATTTCAAGTCGTAGCTCTCTTATTGATGGCTGCCTGTCAGACAGTGCTGCCTTCAGCTCCTGTGACAAGTTAGGAATGTGTTCCACCATTGTATTTAAGGTTTTCGTATGGATGATGGAGGATGGCAGGACTTCTAAAAGGGGAATGGGAAGAGAGAAAAATACTCTAATGAAGGACATTGGGAAAACAATAAAATTTTGCATAGACATAAAAAAAAGCATTGTCTTAATAGAATTAAACATCAAGACAGAATCAACAAATATCCTGATTAAACCACTTAGAGTATTATAGTTGGGTGGCTTTAATTACTGTAGCATCATCAAGAGTCTGCTTTATTCCAAAGACCTTCTGTCATCTTTCTTTATGTCCCCTTAATGCTTTCATTATGGCAGTTTTGACTCTTCCTGATTTCTGAAGACATCTTGGTCACTGAAAACACTCAGTTTGACCACAGATGAATTTTTCTTACTGGATAATTTTCTTCTGTTACTAATTTCTGAGTTCTTATAGTAATCCTATCTAATATTCCATGGTGGCAAATTACTGCTTCAGGATAAAGTTTAAAAGGCAGAATCTTCAACTGCTCTGATCTAAATGTCAGGAGATAACCAGTCTTTGACATCCCTCACACATCTATTTAACGGTTCATTTTTCCCAGAGTATTTACTTCAAATAAAACAATAAGCTAATACTTTATCTTTCCTCCTAATGCTCTTTCTCATTCAAGTTCTAAACTGACACATGAGAATTTATACCATTTTTAGTTGTCAGAAGTTTTTGCATTTTCTTTCAGTAAGATATCCTAAGTTTAATTCAGCCTCTTCAAAAAATTCCCTCTGCTCTAATTTAAATCTCCTATAGTTGGGGCCTTATTGAATGCACAGAAACGCTAATAGTAACTTTCCATGTACTTAAAGCCAGTTAATTAATTAGGCAAAACATTTGTAGCTTCTTTTGTGTTTATTCAGAGGCTGTGTTTTTTTGGCATTCTTTTTCATCTGTAGATGGACATATAAGGTGTTTTGACATCTTGGCTATTGTCAGTAGTGTTGCAATGAATGTGGGAGTGGCAATATCTCTTCAAGATCGTGATTTCATTTATTTCAGATGCAAAAGTGGGATTGCTTGATCATATGGTAATTCTGTTTTGTTTTGTTTTTTTTTTGAGCAATCTCCATAGTGTTTCCTACAGTGCTGCACCATTTTGCTTTGCCTCCCCACCAACAGTATACAAGGGTTCTAATTTTTCCACATCCTGAACAACACTTGGCTTTTTTTAAGGCGTGGAGAAGCAGGGAGAGAGAGAATCTCAAGCAGACTCCATGCCGAGCATGGAGGCTGATCTCACAACCCTGAGATCATGACCTGAGCCAAAGTCAAAAGTGGGTTACTTAACTGACTTGAGCCACCTGGGCACCCGTCTCTTTTTTTTTTTTTTTTTTTTAATAATAACTATCCTGACAGCTATGAAGTGATACCACTGTGTTTTTTTTTTTTCCCCAAAGATTTTATTTATTTATTCGACAGAGAGAGAGAGATCACAAGTAGGCAGAGAGGCAGGCAGAGAGAAAGGCGGGGGAGCAGGCTCTCCGCTGAGCAGAGATCCTCATGCAAGGTGATCTTAGGACCCTGAGATCATGACCCCAGCCGAAGACAGAGGCTTAACCACTGAGCCACCCAGGCGCCCCTACCATTGTGGTTTTGATTTCCATTTCCCTGATGATTAATGGCATAGAGCTTCTTTTCTTATACCTGTTGGCCATTGCATGTCTTCTATGCAAAAATGTCTATTCGTCTTCAGCCCATTTTTTAACTGGGTTACTACCTTTTTTGCTATTGAGTTGTAGGAGTTCCTTATATATGTTGGAAATTAAACCCTTAGCAGATATAGGATACGCAAATGTTTTCTCCTATCCCAGAGCCTGCCTTTTCACTCTGATTATTTCCTCTGCTCTGCAGAAGTTTTTAGTTTGATGTAGTTCCACTTTTCTACTTTTGCTTTTGTTGCTTGTGTTGCACTTTTATTAAAAGTATTTTTTTAACTTAGCTTGAAACATTTTGCAATCAACAGCAGCTTTACCTTCTCAAGTCTAAATAAAAGATAATATCCCAATCGACTTGAAATCACACAAACATCTCTTAACCACTGTATTTTGGACTAAAATTTCACTACCAGAGACCTCCTTTAGTTAAAAATATCTCTTATTTTTTAAAAGTGGTCCAATAAGTGTTATTTATGCACACATTGTAGGAGAAAATGGCTAGTTAACAATTTAATAATATGAAAACAAAACTAACAATAGAGGTTTTAAACTCATGAATCCCAAATTATTGACGTATACTTCCAAAAAATTCTTAACTAGTAGTTTAAACATTTTTCTTGATCTTCACTTGCAGGTAAGATCATGTTAGGTTATTTCCAATTAAATTATGTAGTGGGTAGCAATTAAGAGAGTTCTTTGAAAATACTTTGAAATCACAACATTCCTACACAAATAGAAATTTGGCTAAATAGCTATATATAAATGTGCTCAGAAAATCATTTTTAAGCAACAATTTGGAAACAACCTAAATGTCCACTAAGAATGGTTAAAACCTGTTATGTCCACTAAAAATGGTTAAATATATATATGGTAGATTTATGATATAGAATACTATGAAGAAGTTTTAAATTCTATTTTTGGAAACTAACAATGTGAGAAACTGCTCACAATATGTTAAGTGAAAGTCATGAGATATACATACATATCTCCAAAACAATTTTTTAAGGTTTTATTTTTAAGTAATCTCTGCAACCAAGTGGGGCTCAAACATACAACCCTGAGATCAAGAGTCACATGCTCTACCCACTGAGCAATCCAGGTGCCCCTACATATCTCATTAACATTGCTTTCCAATTCCTCATTAAAACAGACTTTTTAAATTTTCTCATTAAACTCACATATTTTTTCAAAGCCTATAATATCCATTTTTCTTATATTTATATATCTGTTTTAGTCTTTAATATGAGCATATTTTATTTATTCAGAAAAAGTGAATTAACAAAGGCAACACAATGCAATCTGGTTGTCCCAACTTTGAATCAGAAAATCCCTGAACTTTGTAGTACTCTTCTAATAATATATAAGAATTCTGTAAGAACTTGCATTAAATAAATCAGTCTCTGACCAACAGTATAGAAAAGTAAAGTGAATAGTTTTATAATCATGTTTTAAATCCCATAAAAAAGAAGCAAATTATGGTTAGTGTGCACAATAATTTTATCTGAGAGTCACTTGTATACAGGATAGGCAGGCTATAAAATATAGTTGTGATTTATCATAAACTGAATATATGTTGTGAAATATAGAATACTAAGTTATTCATAATTGAGCTTGCATTTTCTGAATTTAATATGACCCATTACACTGCTTAGAATAGTTTGTGAAAGTTTGCATTGCTACTTAAACTTAACTTCCAGTTTATCTTTATAAATAGTTGATTACTAATGAAGTTGTTTTTGTTTTGTTTTTTAAACCATTTCAGATTTTAGCTGTCCTCAATTCTGGAGGCTTGCTTTTAAAGAAAATCTACTGCAGCTTCCAAATGCTTGAAGAAGCATCAATTAGGTTTTCAACTGAAAACTTCCCTTGGGCAAACTTTCCTTGACTCTAGATCCTCTTCAGTTTCTCCTGTAGATTAGGCCCTTTTCTTTCTCCAATCCCTTACTGCACAAATGAACTTAAAGGTCCAGGGCAAAGAGGGTGGGAGACTAGGCTCTCCCCTTTGGTGACCTTTACAAATAAAAATAAAATTAAAAGAGGAAATTTTCGATGGTGTGGGCCACAGCGCAGCCTTTTTGCAAAGGAGTAGAGTCATTAGTGAGCCCCTTCCTGTTTACCACTGCAGGAGCCTCTCAGTGGTCTCGGAGTTCTGCCCCATGCCCTCTGGCACTCAAACCAGTGCACACTTGACTGCCTCCAGTCCTCTCAAGTTGAGTTGTTCTGTCCAGTTGCTCCAGCCCCCCAGCATGCCCTCTCCCAGGCCCATGGACTTGACTCGGGTCCAACCTGAATGGATCCCACCTCGAACCGGTCTTTGGGCAACCAATATCCTCTGTGGCCCGCCTCTCCCCAGCCAGATCATCAGATTGCCAGGAGGTGAAGGGCTCCAAGTGCCCCTCAGGAGAGGCCTTGGTTGTTCCCGCTGCTTATTCTCCCTCTGGTGAGCTCCTCGGTGAGAACTTACTAGAAAAGCAATTACAAGGGTAAACTCCACAAACTTTTAGGCATCACAGCCTGAGTCAGGGACAAGCGCGCGAAGCCCAAGCGCTCTGAAGCCAGGGAGTGCCGGTGCCTTTCTAAATGGTTGGTGGCCCAGCCTCAACCAGTAATTGGAAGTACATAGGCGGTGGGGGTGGGGGGACGGAGGCGCTCACCTGCAAGTGGTTCTGATGCCTGCCGAGGTTCCCGCACTTGCTGGTGAGCCCTTTCCCCCCAGGAGACCGAGCCGCAGATCTGGATACGTAGGCGGACTAACTCGCGGCTGCAAGCCTTAATTATCTTGTCATCTTTCTGGGCTGGGATCCCTCTGGGAAGCTGGCTCAGTAGTAAAAGCCAGACTTTTAGCAGGTGGGACAAGTGCAGGTGCGGCATGTTGGCCCAGATCGCTTCTGTTCTGGGCGTTGTTTCCTGTAGGACTGAAGCCCCTGTCGTCCACCAGTCTCTGCCTGTGTTCCAATCCTGGACTTCAGGCTGCAGTCCTAACCAGCTTTCACCAAGCTTTTATAGCCCTTGGGCGACCACTTAGACCCGAGTCAATTGCCCAAGCTCCGCCCCTTTCTCCACCCACCTCCTTGGAATTCTCCCCCCAACTCCTGTTCCCCACCTTATCTCCCCGCCTTTCACCCTTAACAACTTTCCTCCCTTTACCCATCTTTCTGTTCTTGGACTCTTTACAGTTGTATATATATATTTTTTCTTTTTTTCCCTTAAACTATTTTGTATACTTACGTAAAGTTAGTCAATATTTGAAGTTTTCCTTTTTTATAAAGTTAGGCATTGCCCTTACACTAAATTATATCAAGAAAAATAAAATTGAAATCACCCATATTATCTCAAATTCAGTTTTCCATCATGAACATTTGTTGCATAA